AAAGATCGATAGAAATAGCTGAGAGACGTGCGAAACAAAGGACCCGCATGGTGTGGTGGTGAACGCGTTACTCCCCGGAAAGGATAATAGCGCGTTCGTTCCCCACCATAGACACCTGCGGTCCAGAGTTTTGCAAATATCTCAGCAACGTTGTGGTTGTATTTCGCTCTATAGGAATATTAAATTTTTATTTGTTGCGTGCTACAATTTTTGTGGCGCGGTATTATGCTAAATACAACCACAATGGTACTGAGATAACTGCAGAACTCCAGACCGCAGGTGTCTGCGGTACAGAATGAATGCGCTATTACCCTTTCCGGGACTAACGGGTTCACCACAACATCTTGAGGATCCTTCGTTTCGCCTCTCTCACTGTATCATTTTCAATATTGTGATTTCAACTACAGCCTTAGCTTAACTGGGTCCAATGCCGACTTGGGCTGCCCAGATCAGCCCTGTTGACGGATGATTGCTGATGGCACTGATCGATGGAACTAGCTGAGAGACAGGCGAAACGAAGGGCCCACATGGTGCGGTGGTGAGTGCGTTACTCCCCGGAAAGGATGAAAGTGCGTTTGGGTGAGGGTGTTCCTCGTCGCAAACACCTGCGGTCTGGAGTCTTGCAAATATCTCAGCACCATTGTGGTTCTGTAGAAATATATGTTATCTTCCATGATCACTAGAGGTCGTCCTTTATGCGCTTCACCACGCTCATTAAACGATTTTGGTATAAGTAAGATTTGAGTTGCATGCGGAAAGAGTTTGTTCATTAGGTCGTCAAATTGGGTCGATTTTTGTCGCTCCATTCCAAATCCACATGTTCTAATCTATTTTAGGGTTACTAATTAAAATAAGAACCGTAGGCCACTTGTATTCTATTATTGTACTAACAGAAAACCATTTCATTCAACCTATTGCAGTAAAACTCTAAGCTCCTAGAGCCCACTAAGCCTTTGAGGCACGGATTTAATTCTGTGATAATGGGCGAAGAAACTGCGGATGATTGGTTTGGCCGATTGACTATGACGGATAAAGAATCCCTTCGTATTCAGGTCTTCTTAAGTTAAACAGTACTTCTGTGAAGTGCAGTCATTGTCGTGCCAAAGATTTGGCTAATGTCATTTACGTCCTTCAAAGATGTTGCCGTTCTTGCTGTGTTTCCGATCTTTGCTAACTCTATTCTGATGTAATGAATACCGCTTATCAACACTTTTCACGTAGGTTTGATCAGAACAGTACCATAGTCCTCAGTTTTTGTTCACTTTTGTGCATAATCTAGTCTGTTGGTGTACTGGATCTATCTTCATTTGCAGATCGCAACTCGTCCAAAAAAAAAGAGATTGAACCTCACTTGGCAGTGCTCTTTTATACAGGACAGTAGCAAATACTGATCGTGCGTTGATAATCGCGAAAAAATAGTAGATAAAAAGATCTCTTCGCTCTTCGTTCGATCCATGCATCAACGACTTTCCGAGTTACTTTGACTCTCCAGTTCAGCTGATCCGTGAAATTGCGAGTGCCTTGTGTGACACTGCGTCCATGCTTCAATTATGCATAGTATCACTCCAACTTTCTTCCACTTCATTCTCACTCTAACAAGCTTTAGACCAGTGCTTTGTTAGTTATTTTTTAATTCGTAGTTATTATTATTGCATTATAAAAGTTACTGGATGGAAAATACTTTCGAAAAGTGGATACTTCATGGATTGAGTGATAAGATTCAGTAGTATTTTCGGACTCGGAAACATTGCAGTTCTGCCTCCCACTTTGCACAGAATTTCTTGGTTATTTGTATATTTCGTTCCTAATAAAAAACAACTTCGCCGTTTAACAGGTAAGTGTTCTAAAATGGCGCAAGAAATTAAAATTCAAAAACCTTCAAATGCATGGGCAGCTTTCGACCTTCGTTTGTCGATTTCAATTTATCTGTTTTCGCTGGTATCAGTTTTACCGGATAAAGAATAAAAAAAAGGATAAGGCTGCCGGCTTTGATCGATCCCTGAGGGATGCGCCATGCATTCGACTTCATTAAGCATCGTTTGAAGGTGAC